CCCTCCCACTCCTCGGACGACATGTCCATCCTGGGCCTCCTGCATTGTCACAATGACGCCACCCGAAAGCTGCAGGAGCAGCATCTCATATTTCGCTTGGGAACCCTGCAGCCCAAGGGTATCAACGTGGACTTCACAAGCTTCAAAATCTCCCCTCCCCCGACCGCATCCCAAAACCAGCCCAGCTAGTCCCTGCCTCCCTAACCATTCCTCCCACCTCAAGACCCACCTCCATCTCCTACCCACAAGCCTCATCCTGCCTCCTTGACCTGTCCGTCCTCCCTGGACTGACCTATCCCCTCCCTAACTCCCCACCTACACTCACGTTTACTGGCTCCATCCTCGCCTCTTTGACCTGTCTGCCTCCTCTCCACCTATCTTCTCCTTTATCCATCTTCTCTCCGCCTCCCCCCTCTCCCTATTTATTCCAGAATCCCCTTCCCTTCCCCTATTTCTGAAGGAGGGTCTCGACCCGCAACATCAGCTTTCCTGCTCCTCTGATGCTGCTTGGCCTGCTGTGTTCATCCAGCTCTACACCGTGTTATCTCAGATTCTCCAGCTCGGCAGTTCCTACTATCACTTGTGGTTGACTGCCAAGTTGATTTTTTTTTTTGTTTACATCCACCAATGCAAAAATGTTGCATGTTTTCCTAATACCCTAGTTCGGCAATTGCTGTTTCTGTGCTCAGTGAAGAGTCACAATATTTAACAGTGGATGTTTGTACTTGTCTATTAGGTGACTATTTCAAGTACGTAAATGTGTCAATTTTTTTTTAATGTGTCAACGTAACAGATTGTCCACTTTTGTCTGATTTGAATGATTTTCTTTCATCTGATAATTGTCATACTGTCCATATTCAATCTACTTAGCCAATTTTGCACAACATTTACAACATTTTGGGAATAGTTTTATAGTATTGTTGTAAAGACTTACTTGTTTATTTATGTTACTTTAAATAGTTTGGCTGTGTAGTGCATAAAATGCTCCAGTGTGCTGTGCTATAGATCGGTATGAAATGATTTACTGTCTGGCTGAAAGAATCTCTCTTTAATTCCCCTCTAAAGCTTCTCCCAATTAATTTGAATGCGTGCTCCAAGTTATTGATCTTTTTAAGAAAAATGGGTCTTTTTCCTTTAGGTAAATCCTAATCTAAAACCACTCCACCAAATTTCCCATCAGGCTTCTTTATTTTAAAGAAAATAATCCCTAACTACGCAGACTTTTCTCATGGCTAAAATTTTACAGTTGTGGGTACATCTTTTAAATCTCCTGTTCTCCCACTTGAGTGTGATCACAAAACATCCATCCTTCAATGTGATGACCGGAACTGCATGCAGTACTTGAGCTGTGACCTAGTTTAGTGTTTTATACCATTGTAGCAGACCCTCCCCAGCTGTTGTATTCAATGCCTGTGCTAATAAGAGAGATTCCATCTAACTTCTTAAAGGACCTTGCTAGCTTCAAGCGTTTGAGGGCATGCAGTCCCAGGTCCTTTTTATTCCTGTATACCTTTCAGTATTCAGCCATTGTATTCATTTGCTTTGTTTGCCCTCCTTGAGGTTTACCTCATTTTTTTTTAGATTGAATTATGTCTGCCACTTTTCTGCTCATTTGATCATTTCATTGACTCCTTCCACAATTTTTTGAGCTTTTTTCTACCCTCTCAACCACATGGATGATTTTTATCTCTTTTAGAGATTTCTTAATCGTGTCTTCAACATTTAACTTAATCTGTTTTGTGCTATTTGCCAACTGCTCAGTCTTGTGGGACCCCATTGGAGACAGCCATCGTCTGTCTAAAACTCTGGATGATTGTTGCCCTTTGCTTCCTGCCACTAAGTCAATTTTGAACCAAACTTTGCACTTTCCCTTAGGTCCCATGGGCTTTGCTTTTCTGACAAGTCTATTATGAGACCTTGTGAAAAGATCCTTGCTAAAGTCCATGCAGACTACTTAAATGCTACCCTTAACCTAAGCCTTTCTGAATTGATAATTTAAAAACATAAGAGCAGTAATGAACCATTTGGCCCCTTGAGCCCATTCCACTAGTCAGAGGATCATGACTGATGCGATCGTGATGCTAATCTACTTTCCTGCTGGTTGCCCAAACTATTCAACTTCACCTTGAATATATTCAATAACCCCAGTCTGTACTGGTTGTTGGGAGGGAAAGAATTCCGTGTAGGAACACAATAATTCTGTACCTCAATTCCATCCAAGCATTTGCCCTTCTCAGGGGTTAGCTTGATGGGCTTAGGTTTACTCAATTTAACTCTTTCTCCCTGTTTTTCTTCTTGTAATTGTACAGTATTAGTAACTCTTTTTTGTCCTCTGGCAGCGTATCTGTAGCCAGTGAAGTTTAGAAAATAGAGCTTCCACTACTTTTTCTACCTTGAGTATGAGAGAGTCTTTCAGGATTGGTGATAGGAATTGGTTTGCATTGGGAGAGTTTGAGTGTCAGAGTAAACATTGAACAGCATTAATTAGCTTTCAGTAGCAGGGTCAAGACTCTTTTACTTAGGAAATTAAATCTATAGTTTGGATATCATTTTGTTTTAGTTTGCAGAATTTCAAGTTGAAGCTAGATATATAAGAAAACACTTAGTTCGGAACAGTTGAGAAATAGGTGATCTCAGTGAAGGGTTTTAAGTTGAAAGTTCCAGACCAGATGTGTTTAGTTAGAACCTGGAAGGAGTATTTGAAACTGAGAAAGGCTAAGCTCAGTAATGCAAATACTCATTGAAGAGGCTTTCAAATTTGCAACCAGAATTTGAAAGCCCAGTTAAATCAAACATAATAGGTGTGATCGAGAAGGGAATTCTTGCTGGTTTGAGTTCTATAAAGAGATGCTATTGGGATAGATGAAATATTGTTTTCTTAATGTGTTTTGAAGTCTTTCAACTTGTTACATGTAAATAGCTTGGATTTTTTTTGTCCACCATTTTTTCTTTGCATAATAAACTTGTTCTGTTATTGTTAAAACCAGATCTGCAGCATATGTGCTTGTCTTTCTGTGAAAGATCACCTCGTTAAAGATTGGTGGAGTAGCAGATAGTGAAGGGGACTGTCGGAGAATGCAGCAGAATATAGATAGATTGGAGGGTTGGGTGGAGAAATGGCAGATGGAGTTCAATCCAGGCAAATGCGAGGTGTTGCATTTTGGAAGATCCAATTCAAGAGCGAACTATACGGTAGATGGAAAATTGGTGCACAGAGAGATCTGGGTGTTCAGGTCTGTTGTACCCTGAAGGTGGCAACGCAGGTGGATAGAGTGGTCAAGAAGGCATACGTCATGCTTTCATTCATCGGACGGGGTATTGAGTACAAGAGTTGACAGGTCATGTTACAGTTGTATAGGACTTTGGTTCGACCACATTTGGAATACTGCATACAGTTCTCGTCGCCACATTACCAAAAGGATGTGGATGCTTTGGAGAGGGTGCAGAGGAGGTTCACCAGGATGTTGCCTGGTATGGAGGGTGCTAGCTATGAAGAGAGGTTGAGTAGATTAGGATTATTTACATTAGAAAGACGGAGGTTGAGGGGGGACCTGATTGAGGTGTGCAAAATCATGAGAGGTATAGACAGGGTGGATAGCAAGAAGCTTTTTCCCAGAGTGGGGGACTCCATTACTAGGGGTCACGATTTCAAGGTGAGAGGGGAGAAGTTTAAGGGAGGTATGCGTGGAAAGTTCTTTACGCAGAGGGTGGTGGGTGCCTAGAACACGTTGCCAGCGGAGGTGGTGGAGGCGGGCACGATAGCGTCATTTAAGATGTATCTAGACAGATACATGAATGGGCAGGGAGCAGAGGGATACAGATCCTTGGAAAATAGGAGACAGGTTTAGATAGAGGATCTAGATTGGCGCAGGCTTGGAGGGCCGAAGGGCCTGTTCCTGTGCTGTAATTTTCTTTGTTCTTTGTTCTTAAATTAGAAACAAAATGACATCAGTTTAGATTTCAGTCTGGGATCTGCCATGTCCAGCAATAACAGAAGCTGGGATTGTAACAGTAATGCTTCTGAGGTAGATGAGGCCATACTAGACTTCACCTGCCTAAAACTGCCTAATGTTCCATCCAATAGCTTTGTTAGATATTGGCATATTAGAAACTACCATCCAAACTCTAAACCAGCTGGAGAAGCAGTCAACATTTTCATCTTGCTTGCTGAAGAGAACACAGCAAGACAGAAAATCTCCTGCAGGAAAAAAGGAATCCTGTATTGAACAGTCAGTCATTCTGGGCAGTCAGAAGACAGCCAATTCCTTTTGTACACCAGCTCAGCACACTTCCATATGAAAGACCAAGCTGTGATTATTTTCCTGAATGACTTTATTTGAAATTTGCGTGAACCTTGGCTCAGGTTCTTTGCTACAATGGGTGAAGTGCTGTCTCTCTGTAGCAAAGACAGTGGGTCTCCCTTCTGGATTTCTGTTCCTTTGTCCATGTCTGGATCAAGGACGTAATGAAGTCAGAAGCTGCTGTCCCTTGTGGAATCCAAACTGAGCATCAGTGAGCAAGTTATTGCTGAGTAAGTACCTCATGATCATGTCATAGATGACACCTTTCATTGCTTTACAAGTAAGAAACAGTTAACTGATGAAGCAGCAGTTAGCCAGGTTGGATTTACCCTGCTTTTCTTGGACAGTATGTGTACATGGGCATTTTTACTGATTGGGTATTGGTTAGAGCACAGCTAGTTCTGGAGCACAAATTTTCAGTACAATGGTGTAATGTTGTTAGCCCTATATCCCTTATGGTATCCTGTGCCTTCAGCTGTTTTCTAGATGTCACATGGGATGAATTAACTAGCATCTGTGATAATGGCTGAGATGGCTCATTCCCTTGTCAGTTCGAGCTGAGGATGTTTGCAAATGGCTCAAGCTTTTCTGTTAGAACCTGCGTGTCTTTATTGCTGCTCTAAACAAATCTCTGACTCTGGGATGATTGTACTTTGAGTAAAAATATTGTCCTACGATCTTGAAGCTTTCAACATGACCAGGGAGAAGAGTTGGGGATTACTAAGTGTCTGATAATGTATTGTGGGTCTTCTGAAGTTTGCTTCTTGATATCTTTTAAGGTAATTGATACTGACAAGGATCAGCCAGAATAAGCTGATTTATTAGCTTGGATGGAGGATTGGGATGGTGTGCCACAGGGTTCAGTCCTCAGGGCCCCTATTATTTACAATCTATATCAATGACTAGAGTGTAGGGATAGAAGGTACTATATACAAGTAACGCTAAAATAGATGGGAAAGTAAATTGCACTGAAGAAATGAGTTTACAAATGGATACGGATAGTTAGATGAGTGGGCCAAAATTTGGCAGTTGAAAGTTAATGTGTTTAAGTGAGAAGTTATCTATTTTGGTCAAAGGAATAGCATTTTTTTTTTAAAAATGAAGGAAGTGTTGCTGCAACTGTACAAGACATTAGTGAATTTACATCTGGAGAATTTTGGTCTTCTTACTTGAGGGATATTGTTGTGTTGGAAGATGTTCAGAGAAGAATGACTAGATTGATTCCAGAGATCAGGAGTTTGTCTTATGGAGAGAGATTGAGCAGTTTAGGCCTATACTGCATGAAGTTTAGAAGAATAAGAGGAAATCTAATTGAGGTATATAAGTGACTTTGTCAGTCCCCTTTAGTAAATGAAAAAAGGTTGTTTTCTCTTGTGGAGTGCGGTAGATTTTAGGACGTGAAGTAAATTTGAGGAGATAGATTTTAATTAGTAATGGGTTGAAGGGCTATGGGGAATGAGCAGGAAAATGGAGTTGGGGTCAAGATGAGATCACCCATGATCATATCAAATGGCAGAACAGTGTGGAGGAGTTGAATTGCCTACTATAGCTTTTAGTTCTTATGTAGATTGTAATCTGACATGATTAAGAGTTTATCAGACATTAATTATTTCCCTTTATGATGCCACATTCTGCAACCTTTGTGTATATCTTCACCTAGCTTTGTGTTACTGACAAACTGAGAAATATTACTTTATGTCTGTTTGTCAATGTTTCTCAAGCTGTTTCTTCGTGTGGCTGCAATTAATGGTTTAAGGCTTTCTGTGATCCGGGGTGAAGATTTGTTGATCCAATTAGGGTTGAAAACTGCACTTTGCAGTATCTTAATATTGACCTTGCCTTGGTGATTAAAGCTTGTGGTCGCATCAATCAATTTTGTCAGATAAAATGCAAGGTGCAGTGTGCTAATAATGAATGTTATTGTATCATACCAAGAAAAAACACTCCTAGAACCTTGGTCCTTTTTATTTTGTAATTGCAGGTTACATTACTTGCTCTTGATGTTATTGCAGCACTTGTGGATCGCATTAAAGATCGCTTTAAGCCCCATTTTGGGACTGGTGAGTAAACCATCTTTACTTTGTTTTGTTTTTTTTTCAGGAGCATTCCAAAGGGCTTGTCTGGCAGAAACTAAATGCAAAAGTTAATAAAGGATATTGCTGTCAACTTTTTCCATTTTCACCTCTTGTTTTTCTTTCCAGTTTACAAATCACTGCTTTAAAATGCATCTGCCAACTGGCTGCCTTTCCACCAGCCTATGTAGTCCTAGGTTTATCACTGCCCTTCATGCAGTTCACAGTACTTTTGAAGTTTAATGTCATCTGTGAATTTTGAAATTGTGCTTTGTGCACCTATGACTAGATTAGTATTACATATTATCTGGAAAGACCGTGCTTCTAATCCAATGTTTTGTTCTTCCAGACCAAAAAAAACTGTTGTGCACTATTTTGTTCTGTCACTGCAAATTTCCTAACCATGTGGCTGCTGTTACTTTTTATGTAGACCATATATCTAAATTAATCTAATCCCATTTGGCCCATATCCCTCTAAACGCTTCCTATTCATGTACACATCCAGATGCCTTTTAAATGTTGTAACTGTACCGGCCGCCTCCACTTTCTTTGGAAGTTCATTCCATACACATAACATCCTCTGCATGAAAAAGTTGCCCCTTGGGTCCCTTTTAAATCTTTCCCACCTTACCTTAAACCTATGCCCTCTAATTCTGGACTTCCGCACCCCAAGGAAAAAGACCTTGGCTATTCACCCTATCCATGTCCCTCATGATTTCATAAACTTTTACAATGTCACCTTTCAGCCTCCACTCAAGGGAAAGTAGCCTCAGCCTATTCATCCTCTCCCTATAACTCCAACCTCTCCACCACCACCCTCTGTCTCCTACCTTTGAGCCAATTTCATATCCAAATAGCTAGTTCTACTTGTATTCCATGTGATCTAACCTTGCTAACCAGTCTGCCATGCGGAAGTTTGTTGATCGCCTGACTGAAGTCCATACAGAAAACGTCTACTGCTCTACCTTCAACAATCTTCTTTGTCACTTCTTCAAAAAACTCAAATCAAGTTAGTGAGATACGACTTCCCACTCACAAAGCCATGTTGAGTATCCCTAATCAGTCATTGCCTTTCCAAATATGTATAAATCCTGTCCCTTAGAATCCCCTCCAACAAATTGCTCACCACTGATGTCAGGCTCACTGGTCTACAGTTCCCTGGCTTTTCCTTCCCACCTTTCTTAAATAAAGGCACCATGTTAGCCAACTTCCAGTCTTCTGGCACCTCACCCGTGGCTGTACATGATAGAGACATCTCAGCAAGGGACCCAGCAATCACTTCCCTAGCTTCCCACTTGGGTCTCGGGTACACCTGATCAGGTCCCAGGGTTTTATCCACCCACCGTAATGCGTTTTGAGACATCCAGCACCACTACCTCTGTAATCTGGACATTTTTTAAGATATTGTTATTTATTTCCCTACATTCTATATCTTCCATATCCCTCTCCACAGGAAATGCTAATGCAAAATATTTAGTATCTTCCCCCATCTTCTGCGGCTCCATACATAAGCAGCCTTGCTGATCTTTAAAGGGCCCTATTCTCTCCCTCGTTATTCTTTTTTGTCCTTAGTGTATTTGTGGAAACCCTTTGGATTCTCCTTAACCCTGTTTGCCAAAGCTATCTCATGTCCCGTTTTTGCCCTCCTGATTTCCCTTTAGTATACATCTACTTGCCCTTGTACACCTCTAAGGTTTCACTCGATCTCTGCCATCTACACCTGATATGTGCTTCATTCTTTTTCTTGACCAGAACCTCAATGTCTGTAGTCATCCAGCATTGACTACACGTACCAGCCAAGCCCTTCACCTTGACAGGAACATACTGTTTCTGGACTCTTGTTATCTCATTTTTGAAGACTTCGCACTTTCCAGCCATCCCTTTACCTGCGAATATCTGCCCCCAATCAACTTCTGAAAGTTTTTGCCTAATACCATCAAAATTGGCCTTCCTCCAATATAGGACTTTAACTTTTGGCATCAAGTCTATCCTTTGCATCACTATTTTTTAAAAAACTAATAGAATTATGATCACTTGTCCCAAAGTGCTCCCCAACTGACACCTCAGTCACCTGCCCTATCTTATTTCGCAAGAGTAGGTCAAATTTTGCTCCTTCTCTCATGTGTACATTCACATGTGTACTGAATTAGAAAACCTTCTTGTACCTACTTAACAATTTCCTCTTCATCTGATCCCTTAACATTGTGGCAGTCCCAGTCTATGTTTGGAAAGTTAAAATCCCCTACCGTTACAACCCCATTATTCTTTAATAAGCTTTAACTTTCCTGACAGACCTATTATGTGGTGCTTTCTTAAATGCCTTTTGGAAGTCTGTGTATATTCTATCTGCATCACCCCAATCAATCCTTTCTGTTACTTCACCAAAATATTCAAGCATGTAAGTTTGCTGTTAAATATATGCCTTACATTAATTATTCCATACTTGAATATTAAATCTGTCCTGGATTGTTGTTAGTAAAAGCTTCCTCACAGCAGAAATTTTTCTTTTCACCCTTAAGTAAAAGGTGTAACAATTGCACATCTCCAGTTCTTTGACACTACTCTTGTATTTAAGGAGCATTGGAAAATTATGGTTTATGCCTCAGCATTTCTCCTCTTCTTTCCCTCCAATATTTGTAACCACATCCAATTCCAGCCAATCCTGGTGACTAAGCAGTTTTTAAGTACAGTCAGTCATTTGATTGTCTTCGCTTAATCCATTTATGGCCTCCCTAGTGTTTCAACTACTTCCTCTTTTGTTTTGAGGAGTGGATATTGATTCTAGTGGTGGTAAGTGGACTAGAGGCTGAGAAGTAGATGCATTGGTTTTAGTTTTCCAGAATACCCTAGATTGGAAGATAACAACCTGACCACTTTATTATGGAAAGGAGGGAGACAGAAAGCAGGAAACTGGTTAGCCCACTCTCTGTTATAGGCAAAGCGTTGGATTCTATTTTTTTTATAGTAGGGCACTTAGAAAATCTTAATGCTGATTCTGCCTAATAGTTTTGTTTTGTGAAAGGAAAATTGTGTTTGACTTGTTTGTTAGGGTTCTTTGACGAAATAGCAAGCAATGTGAACAAAAGGACACCAATAGAATCATAGAATTTTGCAGTACAGTAAGGAGGCCATTTGACCTATCATGTCTGTACTGGCTCCTGAACGAGCTACCCAGCTAATCCCATTGTCCAGTCCTGTCTCTGACGCCATCTAAATTCATCACTTTCAAACATATATCAAGTTCTTCTTTGAAATTGCCGATGAAATCCACCTCCACCACCACTCTCCCTGGCAGCGCATTCCAAATCCTAACAATTCTGAATAATTAGTTTTCTCCTGATTTCACTCCTAGCTGTCTTGCTGACAGTCTTGAAGTTGTAACAAGTAGTTACTGACATACCATCTGGTGCAGACAGAATATCCTTCTTTACCCTGTCAAAATTGTTCATAATTTTGAACACCTCAATAAGGTCTGCTACAAGGAGAAAAAGCACAGTTTCTCTAATTTTGTATCTCAAATCCCTCACTCCTGGTATGATTCTAGTAAATCTTCTTTGCACTCTGTCCAGGGCTTTAACATTCTTTCTTAAATATTGTCAAGAACTGAACACAATATTCCAAATGTGATCTAATTTATAAAGGTGTAGCATCACTTCCATGGTTTTATCTTTTATGTCTTTGTAAACGCAAGGATCCTATAAGCCACCTTTAATGATTTTTTTTTAAACTAATCAGTAAATACTTCTTTACGTTTAATCCTTAATATAAGCAAAAAAAATTCATCCAAAACCAAAATCTCTATACGGCGCAATTTTAAGTGGGCAGTCAGTTTTTTTTTTCTTTGCCTCAGGATTAAGCTGTCATCCTTGTACATAAGCAAGAAAGTGTTTCTGGCCAAGAGTGCATGATCAACACCTGACACACTACTCGAGAAATCAGTCCAACTTTCTCTGAATGTTTACAAAAGCATCCCTTCCCAGATAATCCACATTGCCACCTTCTCATCTCTGTCTTTCTTCAGTCAGTGCCTTCACCAAGGACGGATCTATGAAAGAGGCTGAAACATCCTCCTGGTGTGACAGGAGACATCGTTTCTGCTTCATGTTTACATGACACTGATGACACTATTTGGCAGTGTTTGACTTTAATATTGAATATATTATTGGGTCTTAAATCTCATTGAGTGGTATGATATTCATTTCGATATTCATTACTATAGTACCTGACTCAATTGGTGCCATTTTGGTGACACTTCTCCCTCACTCACATTTGAGGCTATACTTAGTGCATAGTTTTCTGACTTGAGATCACGCCCCATGTAGCCTCACTGCTCATGCCATTATGTTATGCACAAGCTGTGTATCATGGTTTTTTTTTTGCTGTGAGCACCTCATTTCTGGTTTATCCATTAGGTATTCTTCCCAGTCTTTTGTGATCAGTATCTGGTTCCATTCATCTGCATTACCTTAATTAAAAGCTTGGGTTTTTCTCTTTTTCTCCCACCTAATATCAAATTCCTTCATGTTATGCTCGCTGTTAGTTCAGTGTTACACCATTACTCATCATTAAAACTAATATAGCATGTTTTTCTACATTGGCTTGTGCCTATCTCAAAAGCCTTAGTTCTGTATTTGCAAGTTCCCTGTCTGAGAATGTAGCTAGAAGTTCGATTTTCACTGTCATTCAACTCTCGGACAGTGGAATGAACAGAGAATCTCAGCTTGCTTTGCTCCTGTCCAGATTTGCTGTTAAGCGCACAAATCTGGTGCTTGGAAGATTTTCTGACTTTGTGATTGGGCAAAAGTGATTTTTTGATTACAAGCCTGGTCAAAACAAAACCTCACCAAACAGCAGTCAAAGCATTCACCAATTCCCCAAGCATTATAAGATGGAAACACTGAGGAATTTTGGTGGAATCAAGAGAATTTTGTAACTGCTGTAAATACTAACTGGGGTATCCAGATGAAATTGATCACTGTTGCCTAAGTTGCTCCCTTTTTTTCATGTCATTGCCATCCCAGTATTTTAGTGATTTTTGCAGCAGGATTTCTTAAATCGTTGTTGAACAGTAAAACTACAGAATATGTAATATTGACATTTTGTTGGTAAGCTTAAAGTTCAAATCGGATTTATGTGTTATTAACACCTCACCTCACCTGCACCTGTATGCTTTAGGATTTCTCCTAGTGTTTTTAAAAGTTGTTAATGTCAAAAAGGCAGTTTATGTACCTGTGGTTTTGCTCACTTTGTAACATATGTATGGTGATCACATGCTGAGTTTACTATTGCTTTCTACTCTACATTTTTCAGTGCTTTTGCAATATGCATGTACCTTGGAATATGATTTATAATATGGTTTTGGAAAAGCATGAATTGCATACACTAAATTATTAATTCACAGCTATTGTACTGATCAATACTGATACTGCACCTCCATTGCCCCAGAGGAGTGTCCTTCATGCTACTTCAATAAATTCTATTTCTTTTCCCTTCGCGTACTATGTAACAGCTCACTTAATCTAGGGTTCTTTCAAGGTTGAGCACATTTGTCTCAAGTAGAACACATGTGGTCCTCCAGAGCCCAGCTGAAGTGGAAAATTGTGCCAAATCAATGAGGAATTTGCAACTTCTCAGAGATTCTTCTGGCTTACATGTTGGACTTGTCAGCTGAATGACATGTAGAAGTGTAATCTGTAGGCTGGCTTGGATGTGATTCTATTTTTTTTTGTGTTCCAGTGTGTTTCTAAAGTACCTGAAATATATTGTTGCGTTTTCTTTCCCTGCATGGTCATCCAGTTTTTGAATGTCAAATGTTTCACTGTAGTTTGAGAGTGCTGCCCCCTTTCCCCGCAGTTGGGTCTCCCCAGCAGAATGCAAGCTGTGCCGTGATTTTACTGAAAGGTCAAAGACCATTCTTCAGGACTGCTTTGATATCAAAGTCACATTGGTCAATTGGTCAACTCCTATGTGAATAATAACAACTTATGTCATTTCATTGCTGTCTGATCATCAAGCTGTTGTTATGACCCATTTGGGCGAGCGCATTGATTCTCAAACCCCATTGCTTCTGGGGTTGCCACAAAAGTTCATGATTTAATCGAACCATGCAGAGTCCCTGATTTACCTGTGTGATAGAATCGGCTTAAATTAAAACACTGACCAGGGTCCTGTACTTGATGAGAACTACTATTTATTACAAATAAAGTAAATTCTAATGGAATATAGCTTAGATACCCATATTGTTAGGTAATAGAAATCCCAAGCTTTGGCACCTTAATGGAGTTACCACTTGAAGAACCAAACACTATTTCAACAGCTGTCAATAGTTTTAATGGTAATTTTCCAACTTTTCAACTCTTATTTGTTTGTCTTGTTTGTTAGTTGTAATTGTGTAGCTTTAACATCTTGAATTCTTACATTTTGCTTAAGGTCAGTGTGAAAATGTAAACCTAAATAAAGAGAATACTGCCACGTTTGTTACATCTGCAAAGATTGGTTACTTATGCATGCTATATTTCCTGCAGTGGTACCAGCGCTTGTAGATCGTTTAGGCGATACCAAAGATCAAGTCAGAGAGCAAACACAGAATCTTCTTATCCGAATAATGGATCAGGCTGTATCACCCCAGGTATGTTTCTGGGGTTTCAAACTATAATGCCATTTATAATCAGCTATTCTTAAACATTGGAGTAGTAACTTCGATTTCAGATTTTAAAATATTTTCACATTCTGACAGAAATTATGCAGATTATTGTAACCTTTCAGTCTGTAGTCTGTTCGAATTCCAATATAGTTTTTTCCCATCCAACAAACAGTGCAGTGAGAAATTCTGAGACAGGCAAGTATTCTTTAATAGTTTTACAATATGTCTTGAGTGAACCAGAACCTTCCCTGTGACCTATCATCAGTGATTGATGTTAATCGTTCCCCAGGTGGTTATAGAGTCATAGAAGTCTACAACACAGAAAAAAGTGAGAAGGATGATGTGTGTATAAAAATTAGGCAGAAGGACTTGGACATAATTTTAAAAATTAGCTCGAATAGAGAGGAGGTTCTGAATGGCTTGGCAAGGTTACAAAAAGATAAAAATCTAGGGCCTGATGAAATGTATCCAACACTGTTGAGTGAGGCAGGGAGGAAATAGCAGGGGCATTGGCAATAATTTTGAATTCCTCTCTGGCAGCAGGAGAGGTGCCAGAGGATTGGAGAACAGCCAGTATGGCACATTATTCAAGAAGGGAGGAAGGGATAAACCAAGAAAGTACAAACCAGTCAGTCTGACCTCCGTGGTGGGCAAACTATTAGAAGCAATTCTGAGGGACAGAGCTGGAGAGGCAGGGATTAATCAAGAAAAGTCAGCATGGTTTTGTTAAGGAGAAGTCGTGTCTGACAAAATTGATTGAATATTTTTTGAAGACAATAAAGGGGACCCAGAGTGGCAAGACTGAGTGTCTCTACTGTTCCAGAAAAATGTTGAGTCAGGTAGTAAATGTTATATTTTGTATTGCCCATCTAGCTCCAGAATTAACAGGGGAGGCAATGGCTTAGTTGTATTATTGTTGCACTATTAATCTAGAGACCCATGTAATATTTTGGGAACCCGTGTTGGAATCCTACCTGCCATGGCAGATGGTAGAAATTAAATTTAATTAAAAAGAAGTCTGGACTTCCATTCAGAAAGAAAAATCTGGAGTCTAATGACTACCCTGAATCCATTGTTGATTGTTGAAAAAACCCATTTGATTCACTAATTCCCTTTAGGGAAGAAAGTTGCCATCCCTACCTGATCTGGCCTTCGTGTGGTTGACTCTTAACTGCCTTCTAGGCAATAAATGCTGCTATATTTAATGATGCCCTCATCCTGGGAATGAATAAAATAACAAAGTTCTTGAGAACCAAATCAGCATTTTTACCTGTACTCAAGGCCCATGTGATTCATGTTGCTCTGGAAGTGGGCTTTTAAAAATGATTGAGTTCTAAGATATCAGTTGAAAACTCAGTTTATCGGCCAGAGTCTGGGCACTTGGGGGTTAGTGATTAGATGTTGGCGTGATGGTGGTATGGTTGGAAAGAGCGCCAAGCAGGCTAAATGTCTCGGTGATTTACTGTACTGAAATGCATGTGGAACCTCCCATTCCAAGCAAAAGTTTCATATTTTTAAAAGAAGCAAAATGCGATAGGAAGTTTTGCTATGTTTGTGCTTAGATGCAAGTCTTCAATAATATTGTCTCTGCCAAGGACAACTCTGTCAGAAGTTACCGGGCTGAGAGAGGAAAAGAAGATAAGTAAACCCTCAGGATTTAAGAATCACTTCAGAATGGGTTCACAAGAATTAAATATTTAATACAGATATGTTATATTGTCCTTCGTAGTGTTTTTGGTTGTGCTAAAAGTAAAAGAAGAGCTATTATGTTATGTGGTTTTAAAAAAAGGCTGCCCATTAAATGTCTAGCCAGTAGAATCTTTAATCCTTTGTTTCAGTAAACATCTTAAAACATTGAAATCTTGTAATGTAGTTCTTTCAGCTATTATTTTCTTAAAAAAATGAAATTTGTATTTCTTGTTGTTTTCCATGAGGAATTATGTCGAGTATGATCGCATGATCTGACTTGGGTCTGCCTATTGGAGCAGAGATCACATCATGACTAACGTTTGAGATGGCTTCTGCGTAAAATTAGTAAATTTTCTTTTCAGTACGTTTGGGAACGATTAACTTCAGGATTTAAACACAAGAATTTTCGGACGCGTGAAGGAGTCTGCCTGTGCCTCATCACCACACTAAACACGTAAGTGAGAAGTATTTGGTTCAAGTATGTGACTTGTTAATATAATTTTGACTTATTCTCTGTGTTTCACATTATTGTTAATTCACAGTCTGAGTCTGTAATAAATATTAAGTTGAATCTTAGCAAAGATAATTTTTAGATCAAGCCCCTTGCATGTTGAAAATGGAATATTGCTTTCCTTGTAACTGTTTACCATCAGAAAGTTTCAAAGGTTAAATGTGACCAAAATCATCTGTGTGTTGTAGTGCTACTTTGATTTTGAACTTTTGGAGCTAGTAATAACTATTGAGTTTTATTTTTACTTCATCAGTCAATGCAGTATCCTTTTCTGTGAGGAAGTAATTGATGGTGAATTTTCCCTGAATTTTACATATGTAATCTGCTGATTAAGACATTGTGAAATCTAAGCTGTTCTCACTCTCTTTTAGTGCATCTCATAGTTCATGATTAAAGATTTTATTAGTTTCATTTAATTTCAGATAATTTTGGATTAAATGAAAGTAAACTGCTACCATTTATGGTAGATAAAAGATAAGTTTGATGAAAGATAAGTTTTTAAAATTATATGTATATGGTTAAAATTCTGGTCAATTTTGATAGGACAGATGTTACTGGGAAAAAGACACTTGCTGAAGCTTTTCCTTTTACAGTTACCTGAACAATTTGTGAAAATACCTAAGTAAATGGAAAATAACACCTGTACTGTATGAGAGTAGAGTTCATTTATTGGCTCATAATTGGTAGAATCATTGTTTTATGAAGAAGTTAATGATGACTGGTTGTTTACTACCAAACTTAGTGTAAACTTTATAAACCAGGTAAGTTGACTCAGGTCAAGTCTTGCCTTGAAAAATGAACAAAGATTGGCTGTTACCTATTTTATTAAGCTGATAAAGGTTCAGTGTGTATCCAGGTTATTTGTTTATGAAGAACAAGAGCCTGTATTTTATTTAAATAGCTTCCTGAAGACCCAAGTAAGCTCAACTGACAATCGAATTGATTGGCATGTTGCATGCACTGTAGTTTGTGGAAAATCTTTGGGTTCCATGGGAAATGTCTTTGATAGAATGACATCTACCTAACCTGTAACTCCATCTAGATTTCTGCTATGTGCTGTATAATCCTTAGTGTCCAATATATTATGTTGATAACGATCCTAGGATTTTCAGTTGGGCTTGCAGCGTGGCTCGTGTATGCTGGAAGCTACTTATTAGTATACAGGGCCCTGTAGAATGCAAGTGTGGACACATGTTACCTGGTTCAATTCCACAAAATAGATTACATTCTCTGGTTTGTTTATCATGGCAATGCCTTGACCAATGAGAGTCAACCTGCTTGATATAAAATCTAAATGAATCTTGGCAGTCATCACTGGTGCATTCTCCATGGTAAAACATCTACTAATGAGGGTCTAGTTGCCAGTCAATCTGCACTGTCTTTGCATACAGTATCAATGTTGTTTTCACTTTAATTTGATATTTCTTGCAAATTGTCCTGATGAGTGCAACAGGAAAAGCTTTGACAAAATGTGTCTATTTTTCAGCAATATTCAGATTAAATGTCTTTTAGTTGAAACAAATGCTATCTTTACTTGATGCATTTTAATGACTCTGTCACATTTTTCTGATTAAATATATTGGAGGAGAGTTGATGCACTATGCATATTTAGTTTTTATGAGCTACTGCAAGACAGTGAGTTTAAATAAATGATTCTTTTGTTGCAGTTATGGAGCACAACCATTAACATTAAGCAAAATAGTACCACACATATGCAACCTACTGGGGGATCCAAATAGTCAGGTATGTTTATGATTTTATGAACAGTTTACAGTATGAAACAAAGTGAATATGATGTCGCAAATATGCAATGTACTGAAGTTGTATAATTGTTCTGCAATAATTTTTGATATATACTTTTTTTTGAAAAGTAAGGTGATTCCTCTGAAAATGTATGACTTTGTTGACACCAGTGGTTTTGTTAAGTCGCTGTGTGTACTGGTAATGCACCATTACGTGTGTTGTACCAGGCACATGAGTTGTGATTATGACATTTTGTACATTTTTGAGTTACCTGAAATTATGGCACAACGATGATGTCGCTAAATAAAAATTTCATCCTTAGCCAATGATTTAGTCCGTACCAATGACAACTGTACAAAAATGCTCTATTAATGATTATGTCACTTCAATTGAATTTATTTCGGAAAATAGAACATTCGATGTAAAGAGGCATACGATCATGAAAACTGAGCCACTTAGACTGTTACACATTCTATAATGGATCTTCTGTGGTGTTGGCCAGTGAAAGATAAGACAAATTAATTTTGCAGGAAGAACATTTGTTGTACTGTAGGTGTCAGAATGTTGACGTGCAACTTGCCAGCCTATTTAGAGCAAGAATAACAACTTGCATTAAATGTTCCCATAACTGTGTAGAGACATCTCAAATGTTTTCAAGATCCTTACAAAACGTCATTTGATGTTAGGCCAAATGAGATATCATCTGAATGGATAACAAATAATCATGGATGAAAGGTCATTGATAAAGGAGCTGAAAATGGCTCTACAATGAGGAACCATTGTAGATGTGACAATGACAGGGAGCTTATTGAATGGCAAATTGTTATATTTTTCAGAATATTCACTTTTTCAAAGAATTAGAATCCCCACTTTGCTTGGATGTTGCTGACTTAAGCAACAAATTAATAGTTTAAATTATTTTGTTCCCAACAGTTTCTGAAACGTTTTTTTGACATTATAAAGCAATATTAGAATGAGGAACTCCCAAATGTTTTTTAAATATGCCTTGCCAATTTCAAATGCACATTTTTAAATTGCCTTTGAGTTCTTCTGACCAAATTATTATTTAATCACAGAAATATTCTTTATGGTGTTGACTTCTGTAATACTTCTGTGACAAATGACCATTAAATTATGAATAGAATTCTTTCTAAGAATGCATATTGCTTGCATTTTTGGCCATCTTTATCTGCTAGTTTATTTCTTATAGTTTACTGCATATTCCATTTAGCCACAGACTCTCCTTACATCAATATAACTATTGTTGTGTCCTGATATTGTGCATTGTTTTTCCAACATTACTGTCCTGTCATTTTAATTTGTCCTTGGCGTATGCTCGTAGTGCCTTTTGCAGCAAAGATTGATTAATTGTGATAAAGAAATCAGGAGAACTGGCTTTATTTAGCTCTTATTCAAGGAACATTGGAGCCAGCTGTTGTGCTGCCATTCCATTCCAGCTGAGGTCTGATGAATTTGTATAAAACAAAGTGCTGATAACTAATGAATCAGAGATAGTAGGAACTGCAGATGCTGGAGAATCCAAGACAACAAGGTGCAGGGCTGGATGAACACAGGCCAAGCAGCATCATAGGAGCAGAAAGGCTGACGTTTCGGGCCAAGACCGTTCATCAGAAAAGGGGGAGGGGAAGGGGGTTCTGAAATAAATATGGAGAGAGGGGGAGGCGGAGGCGGATAGAAGATGGATAGAGGAGAGGATAGGTGGAGAGGAAACAAACAGGGCTGTTCGGCCCTGAAACTGCTCGACCATGTCCTGAAGCAAACCAGGTACTACAGCCACATCACCTTTCTTAGTACCTGCCTACGGAACCAGATCATCCCCAATGGACTACAATCCACATTCAAGCCTTCCCAATTTGGCCCCAACCGTGACAATATCTACACTCATGGCATTGAGATCCTTCAGAAGCGTTTCTCCCTGCGACTCCTGAAACACACACTTGCAGCAATGCGCCGGCATCTCCCAGGCACTACAATCAAGCCTACCCCAGCTCAGAGCCTCCCTCTCCCAGACCTGCAAAGGACCTCTCCTGTTTTTCATTCTTCGTAGGATCCATGACCTGACCTCTCAATTCTACTCAGCTTTATTGGACACTAAAAACCGTAAGTACAGTAAACTTACTGGTGCCTACCACCCAAAACGGGCTTCCTCCACCCCCCAAATCCCCAGGACCTTCCCCACAATGTGCCTGCCGCCATTGGCCATGAGGCCACTGTCGGAGAACCCACAGATGACGTCACATCCGCCGCCCCCGCCGGGTTCCCCACTTCCAGGACAAGGAACGCCATCGCTGCCAATGCCACCGCCGCCATTTCTGAGACCAACACCACCGACACGGAAGTCGCACCGACCGTCACCGCTCCCCCGCCGCCGACGCCACTCCGCCCATCACCGCCGCTGACGTCGGTCCACCCACAGCCTCCACAGCCAGCAGCTCCAGAGGGGACAATAGCACCCAGCCCTGCCGAGTCTTCACCATCCCCCCAGACCTCCCCCTTACTGAGGACGAACGGTCAGTCCTCAGTAAAGGGCTCACCTTTGTCCCCCTCCACCCACAGATCAACAAATACCGCTCACGCTTGGACAAAGAGCAGTTTTTCCACCACCTCCGCCTCCACGCTTACTACTTCAACCGTGAGCCTAACCCTCCCTCTACTGACCCCTTCTCCCGCTTCCAACACACCCCCTCCTCCTGGACACCACCCCAAGGCCTCCTACCCTCCCTCGACCTCTTCATCTCCAACTGCCGTCGACATCAATCGCTTCAACCTCTCCACCCCTCTCACCCACTCCAACCTCTCCCCCGCAGAACGTGCAGCCCTCCGCTCCAATCCCAACCTCACCATAAAACCCACGGACAAGGGAGGCGCAGTTGTAGTATGGCACACTGACCTCTACATCGCCGAGGCCATACGCCAACTCTCTGACACCACCTCCTATTGCCCCCTTGATCATGACCCCACCCCTGAGCACCAAACCATCATCTCCCAAACCATCCACAACTTCATCACCTCGGGTGACCTCCCACCCACGGCCTCCAACCTCACCGTTCCCCGACCCCGCACTGCCCGCTTCTATCTCCTTCCCAAAATCCACAAACCTGACTGCCCTGGTCGACCCATTGTCTCCGCCTGCTCCTGCCCCACCGAACTGATCTCCAACTATCTGGACTCCATTTTCTCCCCCTTGGTCCAGGAACTCCCTACCTATGTCCGTGACACCACCCACGCCCTCCACCTCCTCCAGAACTTCCAATTCCTCGGTCCCCAACACCTCATCTTTACCATGGACGTCCAGTCCCTCTACACCTGCATTCCCCATGCAGATGGCCTAAAGGCCCTCCGCTTCTTCCTGTCCCGCAGGCCCGACCAGTTCCCCCTCCACTGACACCCTCGTCCGTTTAGCCAAACTCGTCCTCACCCTCAACAACTTCTCTTTCAATTACTCCCACTTCCTACAGACAAAGGGGGTGGCCATGGGTACCCGCATGGGTCCAAGCTACGCCTGTCTCTTTGTAGGTTACGTGAAACAATCCCTCTTCCGTACCTACACTGGCCCTAAACCCCACCTCTTCCTCCGTTACATTGATGACTGTATCGGCGCCGCCTCGTGCTCCCACGAGGAGCTCAAACAGTTCATCCACTTCACCAACACCTTCCACCCCAACCTTAAGTTCACCTGGACCATCTCTAATACCTCTCTCCCCTTCCTGGACCTCTCTGTCTCCCATCTCGGGCAACCACCTAGAAACCGATATCCATTTCAAGCCCACCGACTCCCACATCTACCTAGAATACTCCTCCTCCCACCCACCTTCCTGCAAAAATGCCATCCCCTATTCCTAATTCCTTCGCCTCCGCCGCATCTGCTCCCAGGGTGAGGCAGTCCACTCCCGTACATCTCAGTTATCCTTGTCTTTCAAGGACTGCAACTTCCCCCCCTCAGTGGTCAAGAACGCCCTCAACCGTGTCTCCCACATCTCCCACAACTCATCCCGCACACCCCGTCCACGCAATAAGAACCAAAAAAGAATCCCCCTCGTCCTCGCGTACCACCCCACCAACCTCCGGATCCAACGCATCATCCTCCGACACTTCCACCATCTGCAATCCGACCCCACCACCAAAGACATCTTTCCCTCCCCACCCTTATCTGCTTACCGGAGGGACCACTCTCTCCGTGACTCCCTTGTCCGCTCCACACTCCCCTCCAGCCCCACCACACCCGGCACTTTTCCCTGCAACCGCAGGAAGTGCTACACCTGCCCCCATACCTCCTCCCTCACCCCCATCCCAGGCCCCAAGAAGACTTTCCACATCAAGCAGATGTTCACCTGCACATCTGCCATTGTGGTATACTGCATCCGTTGTACCCGTTGTGGCCGCCTCTACATCGGGGAAACCAAGCGGAGGCTCGGGGACCGCTTTGCAGAACACCTACGCTCGGTTCGCACTAAACAACTGCACCTCCCAGTCGCGAACCATTTCAACTCCCCCTCCCATTCCTCAGACGACATGTCCATCCTGGGCCTCCTGCAGTGCCACAACAATGACACCCGAAGGTTGCAGGAACAGCAACTCCTATTCCGCTTGGGAACCCTGCAGCCCAATGGTATCAATGTGGATTTCACAAGCTTCAAAATCTCCCCTCCCCCTACCGCATCCCAAAACCAGTCCAGCTTGCCCCTGCTTCCCTAACCTGTTCTTCCTCCCACCTATCCCCTCCTTCCACCTCAAGCCGCACCCCCATCTCCTACCTACTAACCTCATCCCGCCCCCTTGACCTGTCCGTCCTCCCTGGACTGACCTATCCCCTCCCTAACTCCCCACTACACACCTTTACTGGCTCCATCCCCGCCTCTTCGACCTGTTTGTTTCCTCTCCACCCATCCTCTCCTCTATCCATCTTCTATCCACCTCCCCCTCTCTCCCTATTTATTTCAGAACCCCCTTCCCCTCCCCCATTTCTGATGAAGGGTCTAGGCCCGAAATGTCAGCCTTCCTGCTCTTATGATGCTGCTTGGCCTGCTGTGTTCATCCAGCTCTGCACCTTGTCGCTGATAGCTAATTTTGCGTTTATTGTTTAGAATTTGCCAAAATCTAATATATTATTAATTCATGAATGGGTACAAATAATTCTATTGACTCTTCTTCCTCGTCCCTTCCTTCCTCTCGGTCTCGCCCTGTTGCATTCTCCAGGTCATACAGCACAGAAGCAGACTTTTCGGTCCAACTTGTCTGTGCCAACCAGACATCCCAATCTGTCCTAGACCCACTTGCCAGCATTTGACCCGTAACGCTCTAAACTCTTTGTCTTGGATTGCACAGTGTATCCAAGTGGTTCTTTTCGGATTTGGTTAAATGTAATTAAGAGAAGTTTCAACAACAGCAATTTGCTTAAATATGAACATTTATTGATTAATAATGAAAGACAAAAGAAAGGAACGTTTATTAAGTAAATGAAAAGAATGAAAATAAAAAGAGGAGAGGGAAAAAAACAATGAGCCTCGCGCCCTTCTGCCTCTCCGGGACCCCTCGATCGACAGCTGGTCTGGAGGCTGAAGTTGTTCCTGGCACCGTTCGCAATCCCAGTCCGAGGTGAAGTCCGGTGACTTGTAATAAACCTCTCTCTCATATACAGTGTAACAAACAGCAAGCCATAGGAAAAAACTACAGAAAAACGCGTTGATTGTGCTGGCTTTGGCACATACAGGAATGTTCACAGGACTCATTCAAGGTCATGCAACTGTCAAATATCATCAACAAGTTTAGCCCTTCAGCCCATCCTATACAATCCACTCTGATGATATTTGACAGCGCATGTTACGATTGCAGGTGCAGGTGCAGATGCAAATCAGTGACAGCCACGCAAGAAAATATATTAAGAGTATGTAACCTACATTAGAAGATTAAAACTAGAATGAAAATAACGTCACCAGTATGAACAAGGCAACAATAGGATGTATCATCAAATTAACGATTGCAGTGGCCCTAGGGGACCAACCCTTAAATATGTATCCCACCACTGATGTACGGTCAAGGTCGTGATGGAACGAGTAAGTTGTGCCACCTGACTGAAGCAACCAGAGTATCATCTACCTTTTTCTATTAGTCTTTTTCTATTCGTTAGTCTATTTACATAATTTGTTCTAAAATTCAGTATATTTCCAGATTCAGGTTCCTTAATTTGTTTTTTTTTTAATTCTCCAATTTGCTATTCACAGATCACCTCACCCAATAAAGTAAAATAACATCATACCTGGACTCAATTTCTCCACCTCTCTCCCTCTGTATCTGTCTTGAGGATACTTCTTTCATATGCTTCTTTCCTTGCCAATTTTATGAATGATTGTATCATTGAGTGGTAACTACTTCCATATGCAAGTCCCCCCCACCCCACTTTGAGCTGCAATATACATAGTGTCAAACAATGCAGCTCATTAGGCTTTACCTTCAACTTACGCTTCCCACCTTTTATTTTTCCCGGGGTTTCCTTACAACAGACTCCTACACCACCTAAGTCTTCGCTCAGCCTTCATTCACTTACACTAACTGTCCTGATACATTATAATTTCACCTACTGGTTTAGTCGTACAAAAGCTCAAGATGGGGTATCTGAATGTCATCTGATGAGCCCTTTTACTTAGTTGACCATTACTCCTTCCAGAGTATATATTCTTTCATTTCTGTAACATTCTGACATAATAACTAAACACTTTTTTTACTTTGATTATAATTCTTCTTACATCCCTTTCATTAATACTACTTTTGTTGTTTTAAAGTCAGCTTCTCTATGGATTTTTGTGTCAGTGTCTTATCATTGAAACTATCTTTTTGTGCTCTTCCAAGCCACACTAATCTTTTTGTTACATAGGTGCACATTTCTGAGATCCATTCTTCAGTGCATTTTTTTTTATATATCGTCTCATGTGTCCCAAGACCGTGTCACATATTCTTGATTCACACATGATCTTACCAAATGACCTATGAGGTTTTACTTATCTTTCCATGTATGGTCCAGATGCCTTGGGTAGTGGCTTGATCACCAATCCAGTCTTAAAAAGAAAAACAAGGACACAAACATCACCAAGGGAAAGTTATCAGTTTGGTGCTTTTCTCTAAACTTTCTTTTCACTAAAATGTATTTTAACCTCAATTGCCATTTCAAAAATATTATTCTAATTTTTTTTCCCTCTGCCACCAGCCTCCACCCCTAATTTACCTCATTTCATCCAATTTTGCAACTTAACTCTTACCACCATGTCTTATTCCAGAAATCTGTAGAGATTTGTAGTCCATGGAACATAATGTTTTAATATTTTAAAACCAAAGTCAAACATTTCTGTTTGATTCAGGCACAACATACTGTTTGTTCTTTCTGTCAGATGACCCACTTTTTCTTAAGAAAGTTACATGATAATTCATGCTAGAAATTTGATGTATATCTATGTAAGGTTGTCCAAATTCAATGTTGTGTTTATTCGCTCAAAGCCACTAACCATTTTTGCATGCATTAGAAACCACTGAGAGTGTGTTCATACACTTTATCATTTCCCAGAATCCCTTTAAATTTTCAGGTAACTATTCCATTTAAATGTTTTGGCATACCAGGGCGTGTGAGTCTGAACATAGTTTTTGCTGTTTTGAAATTCCTGATACTCAACACAATTAATATTGCCACAGTTCTTCCCCAACACTGAAACGTGCTGTTGATGAATGATTTGATGGGTTGAGTGTGCCTCATCCATCACTGTGTTGTGATGGTGAAATTTGCAAACAGCCTTGGGTGTCTCCAATTTCTTTTTAAAAAAAAACACAAACCAGCTCCATCCATTCCATGCCAAGCAGAATAGGTTAATTAGTATTAATCTACTACAGATTCAAAAAAGGGGTGGAGCGTAAACTCCTGCACATAATTACATCTATCTCTCCTCCTTCTTGAAGGAAGGAAAAGCCCACTCCTTCGTTAAATTTGCCTTTCCTAAATTCCTCACCCACAGTTGCTTTTTCAACATTCCAATTTCCCTATCACTTGGATATTAACGACAAGTCCATCTTATCATCTGAAATTACAGATTGTCTCGTGTAAAAACAGTATTTAGAAGTTCACTCTGGCCTGAAAATGAAATTCCAAACATGGTAATTTCTGGAATTAAAATTTACCCAGTCCAGGCATAACACCGAGCCAATTCCTAAAAGTAAATTTTTACCAAGCTTTACGAACCTCATTTTTGAATCAACATTTCGTAGATTTTTTTTTTGCTTTACAAACCACTGATGGTTTCTTAAAAGGACATTACATTAACCATACATGCTTCACATAGATACAGGCACACAACATACTTTCAAATCACCATATGTTCCCAAAATGCAAACTAACTTCAAAGTATCCCCAGATCTCGAGCTCCAGGGAACAAAAAGACAGAAATTGTGTAAGACGACATTTTGCAACCAACGAACAAACAAAGCTGCATTCAGATCAGACCAGATCACGAACAGTTAACACATCTCCAAGGTTCAATGCACTTGCACAGTGCAGAAACTGGTCTCCAGGCCCCTCTTTTTACCAGTTATAACTCCTATCCTATCAGGAGTTGTAATTGTGCTAACACATAAGCTACAGGCCCAGATCCCAGTGCCTGCCGCATTCCACCCTGGAATACAATAGGTCTTCAGAGCATCAGGGTGCTTTTCCCTTCTCTTGCACATGTTCACGAATCCTGCTCTTATTGCCAAAAATATCTTGGATCACGGAGTGTAAGATCACGGCGGGGTAAGAAAAGAACCTCACGCCCTTCTGCCCGTCAGGGACCCCTCAGTCGACGGCTGGTCTGGAGGCTGAGTTTGCTCCTGGCACCTTTCATGATCCTGAAGTCCAGCAACTTGTAATGAAACTCTCACTGTCATACAGTGTAACAAACAGCAAGCCACAGAACAAAACAACTACAGAAAAACGTGTTGGTTGTGCTGGCTTTGACATGTACAAGAATGTTCACAGGACTCATTTAAGGTCATGCAGTTGTCAAATATCATCAACAAGTTTAGCCCTTCAGCCTATCATCAAACCCTTCCTATTCATGTACCCATTCACATGCCTTTTAAATTTTAATTGTATCTGCCTCCACCACTTCCTCTGACACTATGTTCGATACACACACTACCTCTGCGTGAAAAAGTTACCCTCTTCTTAGTGGAACATACACTAATAGACTTCCGTTACACCTTCACAGGTCAGGGATACAGCTATGAGTGCAATGGTTGAAATTTATCGTCATGTTGGGGAGAAAGTACGTGCTGACCTCATCAAAAAGGGAGTTCCACAAGTAAGGTAAGTTAGTTGAATGAGTTAATGATGATCAGTCATTTTAATTATTGTTTGTCATGAATGTTCAACAGCAGTGAATTTAACAAAAATGTAAGTTGCTGGAAAAGCTCAGCAGGTCTTGCATCGTCTGTGAAGAAAATAGTCAGAGTTAACATTTTGGGTCCGGTGACCCTTCCTTAGAACTGAGTCACCGGACCTGAAACGTTTAACTCTGACTATTTTCTTCACAGATGCTGTCAGACCTGCTGAGCTTTTCCAGCAACTTCTGTTTATTTTCCTGTTTATAGCATCCACAGTTGTTTTGGTTTTTATTTAGCAGTGAATTTAATAATATTAGTTCAACAACTTCAACATTGTCTCTTGACATTGGTTTGTCTTAATATAAGCAGTGAAAATTTAATGTCTGAAAATTCTAAATGTTTATCAATTGGTGATGTATATATTTAAAAATAATGCAAAATACTAATACCTGGTTGAATTGGACTATGTATTAATAGCAGAATAAAAGTCAGCACTGGCTGAAAGCAAGAACTTGGAAACAAGATATAGATACTGGAGGAAAAATAAATGTTAAAATGGAGAACCAAATTCTGGGTTTGAAGTTGAACTCATTGTTTGGTTGAGAAAGCTGTAAAGTACAAATTGGAAAATGGGGTGCAATATTTCCTGCTTGCTTTGGGCTTCACTGGATATTGCAGCAGCTTACGACGGTGATGTGTTGACATGGCAACTGACCAGAATTTTTAGGTGAAGCTTGCACATGTTGCGAGGAGGTGTTCAGCAAAACTGATCCTCCTCCAATTAAGTATTTTACTTGCATTATTCCTTGTCCTTTCCTATAACCAACGTAATCTTATAATACTTTGATCACTGTTCCCAAATGTTCCTTAGTTGTTGGAACTACTTGGCCCACTTCATTCCCCAGAAACATTTTCCAGCATTGCCTCATTTCTTGTTGTTTTGAAAATATACTAATAAAGAAATGATACCCCCTCTTCACCATTTGCACTATTTCTTTCCCAGCCTATATTCAGCCTAATGTCTCCGTTATCATGGCACTACAGATGTTTACACCTCTTGTATTTTTCTTGCTAACATGTAATGTTACCATTATTGTTTCTTAATAATAACCAGATGTAGTTTTATTTTATTCCTTCAAGGGATGTGGACTTTGCTGGCTGGACCAACATTTATTGCCCATCCCTAATTGCTTATGAGAAGGTGGTGGTGAGCTGCTTTCTTAAACCTCTACAGTCAATGACAAAATATTATCGTTGATTTCACTTGATACAACTTGGCCACCTTCAATTAAAATTCCACCTAAATGCAGGTCATCATAAAATGTCTTTTCTTGCCTTAGATACTGACTGACTTATCAGTAGGGAATTACTTGAATGTTCAAGTAGTAATGGGAAAAAAATTGGTTGTTTCAGCCATTGACCTTGTTTCCTCGGGCTCAACACCTCCAAAGTAACATTTGTGGCTTTTTCCATTGCATCTCTCTTTCTAATTGAACCAATAACATTGACAGAACTGGAAAGAGAGTTGTGTTGAAAGATTTTGAATAATTAGGAAATGAACTAAAAAGCGGAACCCCCGTGGTGGTAATGTCAGAATTACAAACTGAGTACAGATAAACAGGCTTAGGATCAATAAAGTTGCAGAGTTAAACGGGTGGCTTAACGATTGGTTTGTGGGTAATAAGTTTCAGTCATGGGATACTGGCACCAGTACTGGGGTAGAAGGGAATTGGTCTTGTTTGCCAGGCTTCATTTGAACTGTGTTGGGACCATTGTCCTGGTGATTCAAATATCTAGGGCTCAAGGAGCAAAACAATATGATGGCATTGCAGGTCAACTACTTTGATACTGATACCCACAGTGGGATGGAAGGCACAGTGTGTGCAAGCATTAAATAAGGTCAAAGGAGAGAAAATATTGGTAAAATGGCAAAATTTAATGGCTCTTAAATGTGTGTAGTATTTGGAACAAAATAAATTAATTGATGGCATAAATAGAGATTAATGTATCTGATCTTTTAGCCACTGTGGAGATATGGTTACAGGGAGATCAAATATTCAGTGATATGTGACTTTTTGAACAGGAGGCAAAAAAGGAAGGGCGGTGGGATAGCTTTGTCTGCACAAGATAGAATAAGTACAATACCTGTAGCAAGAAATAATCTGTATCAAATAATGTAGAATCCTTAACAGTGGAGTTAAAATTAACAAGGCTAGAGAAGTTGCTGGTGAGAGTATATCTGGGCCTTTTAATAGGAGCTGTTGTGTAGGACTGAGAATAAGTCAGGAGATAATGAGGGCATGTAAAAAGACAGCATGTTAATCATGGGTGACTAAAATCTTCATATAGTTTGGGCAAATCAAATTGGCAAAGGTAACCACGAGAAAGAATTCATAGAGAATAGTTGGCGTTTCCTGAAACAGTATGTTGTGGATCTAACCTGGGTTCAGGTTATTTTGGAACTGTTAGTGTGTCATGAAGTAGGTTTAATAAATGATATGAGTGAAAGATCCTCTAAGGAATAGTGACCATAACATGATATATTGAGCATTCATTTTTAGAGGGAAACTTGGGTCAGAAACAAATGTGCTAAAGTTAAATAAAGATATGGATGATGGTAGACTTGGCCAGAGTGGACTAAGAAACAAATTTAGCAGAAAAGACAGTTGAGGAATAAATGGCAGATTTTTAAGAAAATAGTTTGATTCGCAGCAAAGGAATATCCCAATGAGAAAGAAGGGCTGTAAGATGGGGATAAATTGACAATTGTTTACCAAAGATAGTATCAAATTGTATGTTTGTTCTTTCAATGTGCAAAGATTAGTGGTATATCTAAGGATTAGAATAGTTTTAAAGGTGGACAAAAGATAACCAAAAAGAAGTAAAAAGGGAGAGAATAAACAATGATGTCAAACTAGTTTATAATATTGGAAGGGACAGCAAGAGTTTTTTTAAATATAAAACAAAAGAGAGGGCAAAGTGAATATAGACCCCTTAAAGAATGAAGCTGGTGAAATATTATTGGTAAACCAGGAAGTAACAAAGGAATTGAATAGGTATTTTGCATCTGTCGTCGGAGTAGAAGACACTAATAGCATTCCAAAAAGACTAAATAATCAAAGAGCTAAAAGGGTGAGGGAGAAAATGAACACCATAACTTTGACTAGAGAAAAACTGCTAGGGAAAATAAAGGGGCTAAAGGCCAATAATTCCCGTAGACCTGATGTTTTGTATTTTGGGATTTTTAGAGGAAGTAGCTACAGAGATAGAAGATTGCTAACAGTGCATCAGCTAAGAATCATTACCGACAGGAAAAGTCCCAGAGGTTTGGAAACTATTAGTGTAACACTTTCTTTTATTCAAAAGGAGGGAGACAAAAATAAATTGTAACTATAGGTCAGTTAGCTTAACATCCATCATTGGGAAAATGTTGGAGTCTGTTATATAGGACGTAATAGTACATCATTTAGAAATGCATAATGTAATCAAGTTGTGTCAACATGATTTCATGAAATGAAATCATGCCTAACAAATCAATTATAGTTCTTTTGAGGAGGTAACAAACAAGATGGGTACAGGAGAGCTAGCAGATGTAATATATTTGGAGGTGTTCAATAAGGTACCACAAATAAGACTACTTAATAGGATAAAGGACTAGTTAAATAATAGAAGACAGAGGATTGGGGCACTTTCAGGATAGTGACTCATAACAACTATTGGAATTTCATGGGAACCAGTGCTGGTGCCACAATATATGTTAATGATTTGGATGACAGAAGTGAATGTACTATAGTTAAGTTTGTGGGTGACACCCAAGTGGGTAGGTGGGAAGACAATGGGGTTAATACAGAATTTATAGGGGGAATGTAGTAGGTTATGTGAATGGACATGAACTTGGCAGATGGAATATAATGTGGGAAAATGTAAAGTTATGCAGTTTGGCAGCACTCATGGAAGATCTGAGTTTTATGTAAATAGGGAAAGGTTGCAGAATACTGCAGTACAGAGGAATTTGGGGATCCTTGTGAACGAGTCACAAAAAAAATCACGCTCAGCTTCAGTCGGTAACATAGAACGCAAATGGACTGAAAGGGAACAGGGTGTAAACGTAGGGAAATCTTGCTAAAAATTTACAGGGTACTGGTCAGCCCATATCTGCAGTACTGTGATCCTTTGGTCCCTTTATCTAAGGAAAGATATGCTGGAATTGGAAGCTGTCAAGAGAAGGTCCACGAGGTTGATTCTAGGTATGGAGGGATTTTTTTATGAAAAGAGGTTGAGTAAGTTGGGCATTTAACTCATTTGTGTCAGAAGAATGAGAAGAAACCTTACTGTTAGATTCTTAAGGGAGTTTGACAGGACAGATGGGGAAACGTTGTTTCTTTTTGTGGGAGAGTCTAGGACCAGAGGGCATAATCTCAGAGTAAAAATTGCCCATTTAAGACAGATGGATTTTTTTTTTTCCCTGAGGGTAATTAATATGTGGAATTCTTTACCTCGGAGGGTGGCTGACGCTGCATTATTAAGTATATTCAAGGCTGAAATAGATTTTTAATCAGCAAGGAAATCAAGGGTTATGTGGGTAAGGCAGGAAAGTAGAATTGACATTTCAGATCAGCCATGATCTCATTAGTGAAGCAGACTCGATGGGCCGAAATCCTTATCTGCTGTCTGCTCTACAGCTTATGGGCTAACCGTGAGCACAGTTCAAGTTGTGAAGTGTAATTCAGTATTTTCTGCAACAATTGAAAATAGATGCTTTTAACAGCAGATTTTTGCTCTGAGTGGGAAATTCTTTGATCAGGAGATTTCCTTCTCTCTTTCCTTCCCATGTGATCCTCCTGCTTCCAAAGTAAAGTTTTTGAGTACTGGATCTTTTTTGAAGGTTATTTTTCACCTGCGGCATTTATATAATTGTGTATTAAAATGAAGAAACTGCAATGGTTACTGGAATTAAGTTTAAAAACTTATACTTCTGCAACA